ACAGTGCCCACCACAGAGCCGGCCCCCACAGACAGACAGACAGACAGACAGTGCCCACCACAGAGCCACACGCTGACAGAAACAGCCCTGACATAGGCCGAGGCCAGCGCAGCTGACCTGAGCAGCGGCTGGGCAGCACAGGAAGGAGTCTGAGCTAGACCCCTGGATGCCATCCTTGTACCCGGAGCAGCAGGCTGGACACAGAGTGTCACCGTCCTCCCCAGAAAGTGTTCCCATGTGCAGCTCCAAGGCCTCTCGGCGGTGCTCTGAGAAACAACGGGACTCACAGACGGGAAATCACGGCCCATAGCCTCAGGCTACGGCCTGAGCGTGGGCCCAGGTCCCCCAAGCTGACCTCTGACCTTCACATGTATACCGTAACGCACACAAAGGGAATAAAACAAAACAGCAATGGATCGATCGGGATTAAAACCCAGGTTTCCTGGCTTGAAAGTCCATAACCTGAGGTCATCTCTCGGTAAATACAGACACCCCACAGCCGGGCACACTGCCGTGACACACGCACCCCACAGCCGGGCACACTGCCGTGACACACGCACCCCACAGCCGGGCACACTGCCGTGACACACACCCCACAGCCGGGCACACTGCCGTGACACACCCCACAGCCGGGCACACTGCCGTGACACGCCCCACAGCTGGGCACACTGCCGTGACACGCCCCACAGCTGGGCACACTGCCGTGACACGCCCCACAGCCGGGCACACTGCCGTGACACACGCACCCCACAGCCGGGCACACTGCCGTGACACACACCACAGCCGGGCACACTGCCGTGACACACACACCCCACAGCCGGGCACACTGCCGTGACACACGCACCCCACAGCCGGGCACACTGCTCTGACACACACCCCACAGCCGGGCACACTGCCGTGACACACCCCACAGCCGGGCACACTGCCGTGACACACCCCACAGCCGGGCACACTGCCGTGACACACCCCACAGCCGGGCACACTGCCGTGACACGCCCCACAGCCGGGCACACTAGTGATCCCAGCACTGAAGCAAGAAAACTGAAAGTTCGAGACGAGCCTGGGTCCCCCCCGCCCCCCGGCAGATTCCACCCTCCCTTGGGCTCTGTGGCCGTTTGTTGTGACTTTGTGGGGAAACAGCTATCTACTCCCCAACAGAGGGGGCACACAGACCCCAGGAAGAGTCTGTCAAGGGCGACTCAGAAACAATGGATGAATTCAGCAGGTTCTTGGGGAGCACACGGGACCGACGCCTCACACCGTTCAGGCACACCGAGGCTCCAGGGTCACGGGCAGGCAGGGCAGGGGCACGGCGGGTGGAATGTCTGGACAGAGCCTTGGGGTGACCTCGTTCTAGGACCTTCTCCTCCCTTCCAAGGGGAGGTCACCAGCCCTTCCCCTGGCCCAGCTCTCCACTGCCGAGGCCACGCCAGCTCTCAGCCGTCCAGGCTGAGGTCTCAGGGTCTGTGCTCTCAGGAGCGTCTGTGATGTTCTTCTCTGCTCAAGGGGCCGAGCGACCTGCGCTGACCTGCCCTGACCTGCGCTGACCTGAGCTGACCCTGGTTCCATCTCAGAAACTGACTCCACAGAGGCGCCCCTGGCTTCCGCGTGCACATTTGCTTGTTTGCTTGTTTGTTTGTTTGTTTGTTTGTGCACGGGCTGGGCCGTAACCAGCAGGTAGGAGTCAGAAGGTAGGAGGAAAAGTTGCAGGAGTTCATTTTCTTTCCCCCGTGTGGAATCTGGACTAGGCTGGCAGCAAGCGCCCTCCGCACTGAGCCATTTCGGCGGCCCAGGAATGACAGCTGTTTGAAAGAGTTAAACAGCTTACACTACAATAGGGACCCTGTCTCAGAAAACTAAAAACAAAACCAGAAACCTCAAACGAACAAACGAATGAACAAAAAGCAGAGAGTACGTAGTTCCAGCCCTCAGTCTGAGGCCAGATCAGGCTACCTAGTGGGTTCAGGAGACGCCCGGGATACACAAAGGAACTCTGCAGAAAAGACTTCTTTTTTAATGTCACATACAGTCATAACCTCATGGAGAAACACAACACACCCAAACCAGGCAGCGAGTGACGCGCCCAGAGCTCCGAGTCCCTCCCGTTCGGCTGGGTTGGCCCTCAAGGAAACAGCAGGCTTAGGGTAGAAAGGGGGCCCACTGGTCCTCTCCGCCAGACTGGTTCCACCAGGGCCGTGGATGGCACAACCCGTCCTGCCTGTGAAACCCGTGTTGGGCAACTGTGCTCAGCTGTGGGTGCCTGGATTCCAGAAAGAGACGAGCTGGGAACCAGAGTCTGTGTACCGAGGCTGTGCGTGGGGGGGGGGTGTGTGTTCGCGCACGCGTGCCAGGCATACACTCAGGAAGGTAAAGGGAGGCTGGCACCCGGACACCCAGCCGCTGGGAGCGCAGGCCCCCGGGCACACTGGCTTTTGCTGTAGAAGGAAGAGCTCCTGTTCCGGAGACTGGAACACAGCAGCCCGACAATCTGAATCCCCAGTAAGTACTCAGTTTGCTGTAGAAGTGCACTTCCTCCCGTGCACAGCACTCTGTTCCCGTGGCTCTGAAGTTCCAGCTGAACCGAGCGTGCTGCTGCACGCGCGCAACCCCAGCCCTCACGCTGTGGCAGGAAGATCCTAGGTTCAAGGACAGCCGAGGCTTCGTCTCAAAACACAGCTGCACTTGTTTGTTGTAGCCCTGGCTGTCCTGGACTCACTCTGTAGACCAGGCTGACCTCGAACACACAGAGATCTGCCTGCCTCTGCCTCCAGCCACTGTTCTGTTGCGAGGCAGGGAATGGCTCAGCAGGTAAAGACACTGCCAACCAAGCCTGATAACCCGAGTTCAAGCCCAGAGAATCAACGAATGGCCCTCTGACCTCAGCTCACACATGAATACGTGCTCACATACAATTAAAAAGAAAAGTCAAATGTTAAAAACAAAACAAAAAACTGAATCAAGGGGCTAAAAGCTCTGCTCTTCCGGAAGACCCTCACGGCAGCTCACAGCTGTCTGTAATTCCAGCTCTGAGGAACCTAACTCCCCTCCTCGGCCTCTGTGGGCACCAGGCTGTCCTGGTGCACAGACGCACATCCAGGCAGAACACAGATATTGATGCAGAAAAGCTTTAAATGTCTTAAAGTTGAACCAAGCACTGTGTATTTCATGTATCCACCAGTTAAGGGGGAGAAGGTCAAGCCCCTCCTGGCTGCATTACGAGCAACTCCCCAGCTCCCCTACGTCATCTTTTGGATCTCTTTCCCCTCCCCCAGTTCAGGCCACCTCCCCTCGCTTCCCAGCCCCCGTTGTTTCCTGTCTATATGAGTGGTGTATCTAATTGGGGGCCCCAGGCTGTCAGTAAACTTCAGGTGACTCAAACTGTCATCTTGGGAGCCGTGGTCCTCAGATATGACTGAGCCTGAGTCACTCGCTGTCCATTTTCTGAGGTGGTATGGGGAAGGGGCCATGTCACAGAGGGCAGGCCTGGAGAAGGGGATGGATAAGGAGAAAGCCCGCGATAGACAGGGACCCCAGGAGGAGAAAGCCCAGACCCGGGGTCCGGGAGGGGAGAGACCAAGAAACGTGGGCACACACACAAGTCAAAATGGATGTGCAAAGCCAAGGAAAGAGGGGTGTGGCAGCTCGTGCCTGCAATCCAAGACTCAGGAGGCCAAGGCAGGAGGATCACCATGAGTTTAAGGACAGTCTAGCTACACACGGAGTAAACCTGCCTCAGGAAAAGAGGGAAGGAAGGAAGCTCGTCGGGGATGTGGCTGGGTCAGCAGACTGCGTGGGTCGCACGGACAGGGCCCCGGGTTTGATCCTCACACCAGATGCTATAATTTTGTTTGTTTGCTCAGTACTTGGAGGTGAAGATGTTCAGGGTCATCCTCAGCTACACAGTGAGTTGGAGGCCAGCCTGGGCTACATAGGAGCCTGTCGTAAAAACCAAACAAGAAACTGAAGGAGGGAGAAGAGGAGGGAGGGAGGGAGAAGACCAGAACCTACTAACTTAGAGCTGGAGAGGAAAGACCTGGAGATGGGGAGACAGGGGCTCGAAACATAAGTGGGAAACGCTGGCCACGCATGGAGGCCCACGCCAGGGGACAGACATGCACAAGCACACACACAGGCCTGGGCCGGCCAGCCATGTGAGTGGTTCCCGGCAACAAAGGCTGGGCACGCAGAGAGAGCTGTGAGGAAGGCCGCCAGGACTGTGAGCCAGCAGGCGATCACTCTGCTGTCACCTCAGGGCCACAGGCTGTGGCACAGTGACACAACCTTTTGTAGAAGTGACACCCAATTTTCTGGTGCCTCCTATATTTGGGGGGGTGACACCCACGGCAGGAACCCCACCCAACTCTAAGGCCGCTTCCCCACTGACTCACCTGCAACCCTGTCAGGCCTGTTGGGGGAAACCTTGGTGAGTCAAGTACCCAAGACCAGCCTCTTCCCCCTGGAAGGCTACCACGCTGGAGAGTTCAATCTGACTCTCCAGGAACACACAGCCTAGACCAGGGCACCAGGGTCCAGACCCTCCTTCAGATTCAGACGCCCAGCCTCCTCCCTCGGTTCAGGGCTCCAGAATCCTCCCTCAGACCCAGGTTCCAGACCCCAGCCTCCTCCCTCAGAACAGGGATCCTGGCCCAGCCTCCTCCCTCAGACCAGGGGTCCAGGACAGCCTCCTCCCCCAGACCAGGGGTCCAGGACAGCCTCTTCCCCCAGACCAGGGGTCCAGGACAGCCTCCTCCCCCAGACCAGGGGTCCAGGACAGCCTCCTCCCTCAGACTCACATTCCAGAGCACCCCTCTCCGCTGCCACAGCACCCAGGTTGTGGCAGAGGCCTGGCACAGCCTGTTTTCTTGTCCATCCCCAGCTGGAGGTGAGGTGCGAGAGCATTCACCGTGGTCCCCACGAGTCTCTCCCTAAAGCACACTGTCTCCGGGCCTTGAGCTGAAGAACAGCGTCCCCCCTTCCCCTTCAACAGGGCAAGATGAGAAGCCATCTCAGGGGAAGCCCCGCACCCCGCGTACAGCACGACAGGCCTTCCTCTCCTCTTCCCATCCCTCGCTCTCCCCTGCCTCCCTGCCCCTCTGGCCCTGCCCTCAGCCCACCTGGGTCGCCCCTAATTCATTTTCCAGGATTTCTCTCCAGATCTGCACTTGTCTCTCAACATCTCCATCCCTCCGGATTCCCTTTCCCCACCTTCCTGTCACTCCTCCGTCCCTGTCCCCACCGCTCTCCTCCCCATCTCCATCTTCCCTTCTCTTTGGGTCCTCCTTGAATATCTCCATTCTCCACGCCTGGCTCTCTGTTTCTCTCTTCCCATTCCTGACTCTCCTCTGCCCCAGGCCTTCAGTCCTGAGAGACATGAGACAGGAGGGGAGGTGGGGTGTGGGGAATGAAGAGGGAGGGTGGAAAATCCAGGCGGGAGGGAAGAGGGTCAGGCAGACCGGCTAGGCTCCCTCTGTCGGAGCCCCGCCCAGGCTGTGTGGCCTGGCTCATATAAGCAGCCCCGGCCTGTGGCTGAGAACTGAGTGTCTGCGCCTCACCGCATTCCCGGGAACTCTACCTCCAGCCCCTCGGCTCTGCAGGTAGGAGCAGCTTCTCCCGGCCCTGCTCGCAGCCAGGGCGCCTGCGTCTGCCCTCTGCCTCCTGGCTCGCCGCTCTCCCCTCTCTTGCCTGGACTGTGGTGGCCAGCAGCATCTTGCTCTTCTGCAATGCCTCATCTTCCCAGGCTTGCCAACCTGAACGGAGAACTTCTGGGACCTGGCGCCCAATCTCCTGTTTGGCCCGTTTCCCCTCATCTCTGAGCCTGCGGCCCTCCATAAAGCCGGCTGGCGAGGCAACACGGACCCCTGTGGATGTCATAGCACTGTCTCTGTGGCACCTGGCCCACAGCTCTTTCCCACCTGTCTCTGCCACACCTGTTCCTGTCTCTTGCTCTCGCCGTCTCTCTCCAACTGTCAATGCTCCCAGAAGGGTCCTCTGGGGTCTGTCGGGCAGCTGTCAAGACGACGGGCGCGTTGCTCGCCCCGACCCATGCCAGCCAGCAGGCTAACCTGGCCTCTTTCTCTTCAGCACCCTTCCCCCGAGAGCCCAGCCCCCAGTGCCCTAGCCCCTTGCCCTCCCGCGCCCAGTCTCCAGCCTCCCCTGGACAGCCGTCCCCTGCAGCCGCTCCCACAGCAGTCACCTCCCCAGGGCCAGCGAGATGCAGTTTGAGATGCACGACCACGTGAAAGGCAAAGGTGGGATCGCTGGCAGCAACCTTCCGGGCGCCGGGGAGCTGGCGTCTCCCTCCCCGGGGCATCCTGGCCCCGAGGCCCCTAACACGCTGGCGCCCGGGCCTGCAGGAGGAGGTGGTGCACGTCCAGGCTCTGCCCAGCTGCGGTGCCCACCTTTCCTCTCAGCCTTGGCACGACAGGACGGAGAGCTGGCGGCAGCAGCAGGGACAGACGGGCGTGGACGGCCCAGTGTGGCAGACGGGAATGGGAGGCGCGGCAGCGCTTCCTCGAGTAGGCGGCCGGTGGCCTGCCCAGGCTGCCCGGCAGAGGGAAGGGCGGCCGGGGTGGCGCGGCCCGGGAGGCCCCGCGGCCGCCGCTGACCCCCTCGCTCCCGCCACAGCCATGTCCTACCCAGTGACCAGTCAGCCGCAGTGCGCCAGCTCCTGCTACCAGACGCAGCTCAGCGACTGGCACACGGGCCTCACGGACTGCTGCAACGATATGCCTGTGTGTGAGTCCGGGCGAGGTGGCGAGGGGCGCCCCACCCTTCCCGAGCCTCTCCCGCCGGCCGCTCCGCCCTGCCCCAGCCTCCTCGCGCTCCCCCCCACCCCCCGGGCCCACCGCGGGCCCTGCCGCCTCCGTGCCACCGCGTGTGCCCTCGGGGGGCCCGGCAGGCGCGGCGCTGACCGTCCCGTCCCTGCAGGTCTGTGCGGCACCTTCGCGCCGCTGTGCCTCGCCTGCCGCATCTCCGACGACTTCGGGGAGTGCTGCTGCGCGCCCTACCTGCCCGGAGGCCTGCACTCCCTGCGCACGGGCATGCGCGAGCGCTACCACATCCAGGTGCCGGCGGGCGGGCGGGCGGCGGGCGGGCGGGGCGGGCGGCGGGCTCTGACACCCCCCTCCTCCTTCCCACCGCAGGGTTCCGTCGGGCACGACTGGGCTGCCCTCACCTTCTGCCTGCCCTGCGCCCTCTGCCAGATGGCGCGGGAACTGAAGATCCGGGAGTGAGGAGGCTGCTCCCGCGCCGCCGCGCCGCCGGCCGCCCCCTCCCCCTCCCGCTCCCCGCAAAGCCTGTCCCGCCGCCGCTGGCCCCGCGCCAGAAAAACACGCCCGCAATAAAACCCGAAGCCAGCCCCCACACGCCTGCTTTGCCTCGTCGCGGGAGGTGGGCGGGGGGGGGAGCAGGGTGCACCAAAGACGCGTGTCAGACGGGGTGGGCTGGCACAAGGCAAAGCCCCCAGCCCCCAGGCTGCAGAAGGCCTAAGCTCGGCCCACTTAAGCCGAAAATAAGCCAGCGCCAGGCGGGAACAGAGTGAGCCTTGCCCCCAGTCAGAAGAGCCTTTAAAACGGAAAGAAAGTTTAAACTCTTCAAACAATGCTCTCCCCTGCTCAGCCAGCATCTATAGACTTTTTAAGATTTTAACTTTTACACACACACACACACACAGGGCCCAGAGCGCAGGGGAGGGAGCTGGATTCCCCCTAACCTGTTCTCCCATCAGCCTCCAGACGAGATGGGCCTTCAGGGGAAGGCCCCATGGGTAGTCCTTCATAAGCTTGCCCATCAAAGTTCAGGCCATTGCTCGGGTCTCAGAATTCCCGGCACCCAGTCTTGGCCCTGCCACTTCGTGTTCCTGGTGAATTCATAAACCTTCTGAGCCTTCGCCGCTGCCGGTGAAGAGCTGGAGAGGTGCTTCAGTGGTTACGGGCTCTGGGTGCTCCCAACTGCCAGGAACTCCGGTGCCAGGGGACCCGACGGCTCTGCTGACCTCTCGGGTCCACGCGCCACGTGCATACATACACAAACAGATACTTTTAAAAGCCAGCTTTATGTTCACATATGACCGGGCAGGCGCCGCCAGCAGCTTAATGGGGCCAGAGGGATGTCTGAAGAGACCACGCCATTCCCGGGCCATGTGAGCATCAAGGTCTCCCAAGCCAGCCTGCCATGGCCTTGGCGGTGCACCCAAGGGAAAGCGCCCTGCTGAACATCTGCAGCAAGAGACCCACGCCGTGCTGAGGCCGAGGGCGGAGCCCTGAGGGTGGCCCCCCCGCCCTGATCCCGGCCTCGGCACAGCCAGGGCTGAGGGCCAAGACATTAGCTCGAGGCTTTTCAGCGCTGATGCTGCGAGCTTGCTTCAGAGATGCTCATCCATGTCCAGCTGCACTGTCCCCACCAGCATGGCCAGTTCCCCGCGCTCGGTCCTCCAGTCAGAACATAATGGTTTCTGCTCTGCACCGCAGGCTTCTCGCCTGTGACAATGCCCAGGACACAGGTCATGTTTCTCCCTGAGCCAAACTGTGGCAGGAACAAAGGCGCCCTGCCCTCTGCTCTCATCCCTCCCCTGGAGGGGTCGTGCTGCACTTGCCAAGGAGGGCAGAGCTGGCTGAGGCTCCGGGCTTGGAGTGGGACCAGGACAGGACACAGGCTCCGCTGCCCTGCGCAGCCCTCCCTCCCTCCCTGCACACTCAGGGCAAGCAGACACCAGTGTGGAGTCTTTCTGACACTTTATTTGTTTGTTGCTTCAGTTGCCCTCCTGTTGAGCTGTGAACCCTGCTCTCTGGCATGCACATAGTAGTGGGGACCTCTCAGACTGGGGTAACCCCACCATTGGAAAGAGGCCGGTCCAACCCCCACCCCAGGACCAAAGCAGCAGCTGGAAGCTGGAGTCTTGGGAAAGCAAGAGCCCCACGCTCAGGGCGCTGCCTAGGATTCAGGGAAGGGGTCCTAAGCAGAAGAGCTCCTGAGTCCAAGAGTTGAGCCAGGTTGGGGTGGTCTCTGGAGAGAGGCCCAAAGACTCAAGAAAGAGAACCAAACGCTGGCCCCTCCAGGGACCGCCACCTGCCAGGGCGGGGTGAACCTCCAGGCATCTCCTGAGGCTCCCGGCAACCAGCCTGAGTTTCCAATGAACTCAGCCCCTGCAGCCCAGGGCAGACAGCAGCCAGGAACGCTCCTACTCTGGGGTCCTTCGCCAGCACAACGCACTACCCTCAGAGGGCCTGCTGCAGGGACCCCGACTCACGCCCACGCTGAGCCTATTTTCCCACAATGCCCAGTCTGCCCATCTTAGGACAGAGAGGCCACTCTGCCTGTCCTCCTTTCCCTAACATCCGCGCCACGTCCTGTCCCTCGGCCTGCACCACCCTCCTGCGGCCTCCGTGTCCTCCGCAGCCGGCGGAGCCTTCAACACGGTCCTCACTGCCCCCACAGAGCTGGCCAACAGCTTCCCACTGCTGCGCCTGAACCGCAAGGTCCCGTCTGCCCCGGCCCACTCACACTGGCTGGGCTGCGGGGGCCAGGTTCCCAGCTCCTCTGACAGAACAGGCGGCTCCAGCCTCGGGGCTGTCAGCCTTTTCCTCAACTCTGAATTAACTTCCCGAAGACCTTCCCTCCGTCCGTCCCTCCTCGGCGAGTTTCGACCCTTCCCATAAGCCCTCAGTGCCACACTCTAAGACCTTGAGCCACTTCTCTGAGCCTGTGTCTGTGTGTTCAGCCCCTCCCACGAGAGCCCAGGCCCCACCCGGGAGGGGGCTCCTCTCACACCTGCTTCGCTGTGCCCGCCACTGTGCTGTGCTGAGCGGCCGCTCAATAAATAGTTGCCAAGTGCAGAACAGAGGGGGGCCTGGGGCGAGGGAGCCAGCGCCGAGGGCTGTCCGGGGCTGACGGGTCAAAGGGACATGCTGGTGAGGTTGTCCTGGCTCAGCAGTCCCTTCCGGCCGCCGCCGCCCCCGTGCCCGCCGCCCCCGGCGCCGCCGCCGCCCCCGCAGTACTCGTGCAGCCTGTGGCGCAGCGTGACGAGCGCCGAGCCGAGGCAGGCCCCGTTGGGCGCGTGGGGGCCGCCGGGCAGCTGCAGCAGCAGCGTGGCCACGCCCGCCATGCCGTCCTCCGTGGGCTCCAGGGTGATGGGCCCGGCGCGCAGGCCGGCGGGGGCCGGGAGCGCGGGCGGGCAGCAGCCGCCGCCCAGGGGCCCCCAGGGCCCCCCGGCGCCCGTCAGCAGCAGCGGCGTGAGGAAGGGCTCGGAGCGGCGGAAGGCGGGCGGCGGGAGCCCCGCGGGCTTCCAGGCAGGCGCGGGGCCCGGGTCCGGGGGGAAGCAGACCGTGACCTTGGCAAAGGGGCGGCTGGCCATCTTGGTCATCTCCTGCAGGTGCCGCCGCTGCTCCTGCCGCTGGTCCAGGGCCTGCTTGGCCTTCCAGAGGAGCACACAGAGGGAGAGGAAGAGGAAGAAGCAGGAGAAGAACACGGAGAAGAAGACGAACAGGTCGATGTGGGCCTGGTCCTGCCGGAAGAAGAGCAGGCCCTGCGAGTCGGCCGAGCCGTTGGCGCCGGGCGCGCCGGGGTCGCCCACGCCCAGCAGCAGCAGGTAGAAGCGGCTGGACTTGAGGGCGTGGTGCTCGTGGGGGTAGGTGATCACCAGCCTGTCGCGCACGCCGCGCACCACCAGCACGGCCGACGGCTCCGTCACCGTCACGTAGGTGATCAGGCCCCGCGGCCACACCTCGCGCACGCGCGGCTCGGCGGCCCCCGCCGCGCCCCCGGCCCCCGGGGCCCCCAGC